GCCTTCAGATTCTACCACCAGTGAACCAGAAAATAAGATGATATTTCCACTTCATTTTGTGCATTATTTGTACGGATGGCTGAAACTTCTGAATATTAAGATGCTTAATAAGCAAAGAATCATTTTTTAGTCTATAAATAAGTGACTGAATATTTAGTTTTTATTTACATTTTGCCTAGAATCTTAGTTTTGTTATTAATTTTTTTGGTAAAGGTTACTCATAATGAAATTTAAATGGAATATAAAGATAGGCCAACTACCTGACTTTGAATAAGAGTGTTGATTCTAGTCATAATACAGGACAACATGGCCCAAAACTTTAAATAAATTTGTGTCCATGTGAATGGAGAGAGAGTGAAGCAGACATTTAAGGAAACGTGGGAAATCGTAAACAGCTAGGGAAGTAGTAATGAGGGGGGTTGTGGTCAAACGCTCTTAACTTGTTTCTTTGCACAGCTTGTATCCAAACTGAAAGGATTTCACTTTCTTTTTCCCACACCCCATGCATAAACAGGCTCAAGAGGAGTTTGCAGACACAATTAGAGAGAATAACAGTCTGTAGAACATCTCTACTCATTTCAGTTGTATAAAAACCTATGAAGGATTTTCTAATCCTATTAAAAATCCTAGTGCCCCATCTATCTGGAATAGTCTGCATTCAGCTTTATTTAATGTGACTAGTGGTTGTTATATTTTCTCCCAAGCCTTTCATAATTAATAACTTTTCTAAGACTTGTAAGGCCGGTGGTTATTTTACAAGTCAAGAAGTCTAGTCAATAACAGAAGTGAAGATTTCTAGGTAAGAAGTCCTCCGCTAAACTATTCCTAGCGATACTCATTGCATCTTAATTGAGTATTTTTCGTTGGCAACCTTTCCAGCCACCATGATTAAATAAACTATACTTGCTGCACTGCCTATTTCTTTCCTTTTGCATTGCTCCCACCCTAATCCCTGGTAGAAGTATTGGAATCCTGCTAACTGTTGCTTTTGTCCATCTAGTGACTTCCATTGCCAAATCATCTGTCTACTCAAGATACCCAATGCTTGCTGGAGGTCATCCAAACTTCTGAGCTTCAAGGTGCCTCTCATAGCTGTCTCCATTGTTCCTTCATTAGATTCTTACTCCAACCCACCATTGAAGATAAAGTGACTTACATGACACTCCTATGAAACATACCTGATGTGGACTCAGCCTGTCCTTTAGCTCAGTTGTGCCCTCATCTGGAACGTGTCTTTCCTCTTCACCTCCTCTCAAATTGTTTCTTTGACTAAGAAAATTCTAACCCCCTTTATAAGGCCAATGTCAAATGTTGGCTCTTTACAAGATGGATCTTGATTGGCCCAGACAGAATGACCTCCTCATGTAAACTGTCTTGTGCTCCTTCAGTACTTTCAGTCAACCTACTCCTGAAGTTGCTAATTCATATCTTAACCCTTCCTCTTCACAGATTCAAAGCTTCTGCAAGTAATGGTAGTTTATTCTTCTCTGCAAACATCACAGCATCCCGCATAGTTTCTCTCACATAGCAGGGACTCAGTCAATACTGATTGAAAGAACAAGCAAGCAATTTATTTAGCTGAGAACATTTGCAGAAGGTTCTGGTTTCTTTTTGAAGCTATCCAAGTTAATGCCTAAATTATCTCGGTTGTGTCTCTTTAAACAGATAACAAATTATATATGCAAGGCGTATACTAGTCTAAGAAAGGGATAAAAAGTTTCTGTTTGCATGAGTGTTTTCTTCAAAAAAAGAAACCATTCAAGGCACCATTCCCCCACACACACTTATTTTGAGAATCTTTTCAAAGGGAAATAGTACTTTGAAGTAGTCAAGATTATTTAACCATTTGTTTGGGCATGTCGCTACCCATTTAGCTAATTTAACTAATTCTTAGTTCACATTAGTGACAACACTGACATGGCTGGCTTTTAACGATACAACAATATGAGAAATTGAAAATTCAAAGCTATGTTTTGTTTTGTTTTTTTTTTTTAAATTGTGTATAAAGATTGGGAGCAATTGTGTTTGAAAAGCCAGTCACCTTTTAAAAATACAATGGAGTTGTGGAAATTTCTATTTCAAAATATTTGCCTAACATCTGTATTACACAATAACCATGTTTCTATCAGACTTTAAATATGTGAAAAGATGTGATTTGATTCATGACTTCCAATTTTATCTTGTCTCTTTTTATTCAATCTTTCAATGGCTATTAATTACATACCTAACGTTTGCCCGGTACTATACTAGGCATGTTGTGGTTGTTAAGTGCTGTTGAGTCCATTCCAACTCATTGCAACCCTATACAGGGTTTCCAAAGAGTGGCTGGTGGGTGTGAATGGCTGACCTTGTGGTTCAAACTGATCTTGCAGTGAAGTCCTTGTCTTACAGAGCATGCCAGTACTCTATACTAGGCATGGTGGTTGTTGTTATGTGCCATTAAGAGGGTTCTGACCCATAGTGACCCTGTATAGGATTTCTGAGGAGCAGTTGGTGAGTTTGAACTACCAACCTTGTGGTTCAAACTGACCTTGAGGTCGAACACTTATCCTATAGCACCACACCAAAAAATTCAAAAGACAAAGTCTTCGTAAGTATTTTACCTACATATGAGTTAATGCGTCAGACTGCAAAGCCGTTTGAACTACAAGCTCGGTGGTTCTAGCTCACCAGTCGCTCCTTGGAAACTCTATGCAGGGTCGCTATGGGTCAGAAACGACACGATGGCACTTACCAACAACACCAAAGTCCCTTTTTAGTCAAAATATGATCTCAAAATTAAAGCCATTGGCTTTTTCTAATGTCTGCTCCTCTGTTTGACTTTGTAATTTTTGCATCATTTCTCTTCCTAGGTTTGAAGGCATGGAATCACCAGGACTCCCAATATTTTTCACAAGAATTATTACAATATTCATCAACTAAATGTACTAACTTCAGCTATAAATTTTTACACTTTGAGGAAGTACACAAACATAGATTCACCTTCTTAAACTTTGTCATTTATCTAATTAAATCATAATTTACCCTGGAAGCATTCTATAAAATTGTCCTAACTTATTTTTCTAATCCTATTATGTGACTTTTAATTTTTTTTTTTTTCCAGTAAACATGCCCTCAACTTCACCCAAAGTCAATGATTTACTTTTCCAAACATAACCACTCATTTCATCATCAGGATATTTACTGAAGGTACTTCTTCCTGTGACTCATTCTTCCTTTCCTACACAACCATAGAAACTGTAGCATCCTGTGAGAAATATTTTTTTAAATAATCACTCCACAATGTCTCAAATGAATCTCATAGACATATGAGTTTATTCATCCCTGGAAGACTGTACTGCATCAATAGTATCTTCTAAGGGACTCCTCACATTCTGTTGCGTCAGATAATAATTTTCACCTTGCCTTATTGCCCACAACACTATACATTCCTAAGGCAGGAGTAGCTTTCTTCACCATTGTTTAGAGTAGGTGTTCAAAAACAGAAAACTTTGATTACTGATATTTCTGTTGTGAATCTTTTTCGGAATGCTACATGCAAGTTTTATATTAAAATAGAGCAAGAGTGATCAACATGGTTTCCATAACTCCCCCCACTCCCAAAAAAGAAACCCTATTTTCTTTGTGTCAATTCCAACACATAATGACATTACAGAACACAATAGAACTGCTTCTTAAAAGTTTCCGAGAAAATAAAGCTTTGTGGCATCAGATAGCCTCTTCTTTCTCCTGTGAAATGGTGGTTAGTGGATTTGAACTGCTGGTCCATGCAGTATAACACATTACCCACCATGACACAAGAGTTCCTTCATACCACCCAGAAGACCAGACATGTGACTTCTGAGAAGGAAAGGGACTCTGGTCTAAGGTGCCTCAGGCAAAGACACTCTTAGTCTTTTCAGCAAACTTACCAATTTCTTCTAACTTTCTTTTTATTTATTCTTCCCTTTTCTCATTTTTCTCTTTCTTCTACTTTCTCCACCCATACACTTTAGGCCTACAAGGTTATTCTCTGGAATTTTGCTTATTTATGCCAGTGTTGTTGTTCTTGTTGTTAAGTGCCCTCAAGTCACTTCCGACCCAAAGTGACCCCAATATAGGGTTTCCAAGGAGTAGCTGGTGAACTTGAACCACTGACCTTGCAGTTCAAACAACTTTGCAGTCTAGAACATTAAGTCACAGTGCCACACAAGGACTTATATCTGCTAGAAGCACTGATAAAATAATTTTCTTTTTTGGTTCTGGAATATTCTGTAAAGAATAATTGCTTTACTAGGATATTGTTGTTAAGTGCCATAGAGTCAGTTCCGACGCATAGCGACCCTGAACAGGGTTTCCGAGGCTGCAAATCTTTATGGGAGTAGAAAGCCTCATCTTTCTCCTGTGGAGCAGCTGGTAGTTTCAAACTACTGACCTTGTGGTTCGCAGCCTGATTCGTAACCATTATGCTACCAGATATTAGTTATCTCTAAATAGCCTTGAACTTTGTGGAGAAATAGAGCATTTAAAAAAATGTTTGTAAGATTTTCAAAGGAGTTGGCAGCCAATATGAGTGGCATTTTATTATTAAAAAACAAAGAATTAAAAAGATCATAGATATATAATACATTTGCATGTCTATCTATGTCTATTTCTACACATATACATTACAACTAACTACTGATACATCAACAACTTCCCTAAGCACCTTCTCTTTCTAACTCTATTCCATTTTCTGCCAGTTGTGCAGTCTTACATGCTACAAAAATAATGAATGAAAATTTAAGAGAAAGGCAGAAGTGAATCTAAGTTGAAAAGCCTTATAACACCAGTTTTTTTTCTGCCAAAAAGCTTTCCCAGTAACTGTACTATTTCTTAGGCTTCATTTATACCCAGGTATTTATAATGGAAGGCAATGGCTTCCACAATAAATGTTCTGCTTGAAATGTGGAGTCAATGAAAAATAATAACTATAGTGAAACTGTAGATCACTTAAGGTGAATGGGTATAAAAGCACTTACCCCCAGTTGCCACAGTGATTTCACGCAGGGAATGACCATAAAATGGAAAATTGAAGGACAGATTCACTCTCTGCAAGGAACAATACCAGAAAAGAAAATCAATAATGTGCAGAATAGTAAATATAAAATGAGCAGTCAATCACTTAAAAAAAAAAAAAAATGATGCTTCTGTTCTTCTGTAGTATTACTGTAGTTTACTTTTTAAACCTAAATTCTTGATTGGAATAAAAGGTATTTTTTTCTAGTAATTAAATATTTCAATTACACGTAGTCCTCAGGTTATGAATATCTGACTTATAGTCAACCTCTACCTCCAAAACACTTTTTATAATAAAAATCTGAGTTACATAAAATGGTTCATAATAACAAACTGGTACATGAATATCATTGTATTGTTTTATTAAAGTTATTTTAGTTTATCAGGAAGAGTTTCTTAAAACAGTTTTTTTATACCTAGAACGGTATACTCTATACTATAAACTAAGATAAACATTTGACCAACTGATGGTTACAGATACAAACTGTACTTACATATAAATTCAATTACACCAACTTACATATAAATTCAACTAAAGACAGGCTTCTGAATGGAACTTATTTATAATTCAAGAGCTGCACATATGTGAGAAGAATAAAATTGTGCCTAGTATGGTCTGTCTCCAAGCACACAGAGTATGTGAAAATTTCAACAATATATCATCATGCTCTTCTCTGTAACAGCACCATTGCATTTTAGTTCTCCACAAAAATCAGTTGGATTATCATAAGCAATTTACTTTGGATTCCTTTTACTTGACGCCTTCTTCAAAACTGTAGAACAGGTCAAGTCTCACTGAATAAACATTAAAATGTTTTTCTTTTATACTGTTACAGTTTTTTATATACTATCTGTCTAGTCCATATCTCATAATGAAAGGCAGTTTTATGGAACACGATCTCTGTTTCTATAAACCTAGACCTGCAGGTATTTTCATTTCATCAGTGCAAAGTACTCTCAAAATCTGTTAATATGTTCGTTTTAAAGTAAAGAGTTTAAAGATTAAGAATGTCAATTATTAGTGATATTATTTTTCTTGGCATCTGGAAAAATTAAAGAAACCTAGAAAGGGAGAAAACTCACAAATCCCTCTATTTTCTAAGAGTGTAACTGAAGATTTAGCTTTAACCCTTTTCTCTCTCTCCTTGTGAAAGTTGGACAATGTGTAAAGAAGACCAAAGAAGAATTCATACATTTGAGTTATGGTATGAGAGAAAGAAAGTACCACAGACTCCCAGAAAAAGAGACAAATCTGTGTTGAAAGAAATACAGACAGAATGCTCCTTAGAAGCCAGGATTGCAAGACTTCGACTCTTACTTAGGACATATTGTCTATCAGGAGGAGGCAATTGCTGGAGGAGAACATTATGATTGGTCAAATGGAGGATCAGTAAAAAAGAGTGTGAGGAGATGGATTGGCACAGTGAGGATGGCTCAGGACCTGACAGTGTTTCGTTGTGTACAGAGTCACTATGAGTCAGAAGTGCATAGGGTTACTATGAGTCAAAAGTGCACAGGTTCACTAAGAATCGGAACCGACTCAACAGTACTAACAACTAACTTTTATTACTAATCTATCTATATATAAACTGCATAAATAATTTATTGAAAGATTCCATTACTTGTAATTCTGTATTTCCAACAACTTTGTGAAATCACCTAATATATGTATTCATGTACAAGGGTAAGCCCAAAAGTACTGCTACTAGGGTTTCCAGTTCATACATAAATGGGTTTATTCCAAATATAGCAAGTTTCAACATGTCCCTGTGATCCATACATGTCTACAAACAAGTGTTCTCATTCAAACACGTCAAGGGCAATAGTCTCATTAGGGTGCCTTAAAAAAAATAGGTCCGGTCAAAACAGTACATCTACAGGATCTGCTGTGCCGGTTAATTTCAAGGTCAAAAGGTCAGTTTAGACAGTTATGGCAACTATTTGGGGGGACTCCCCAAGAGCTAATCTTGATAGATTTTTCTGGAAGGAAACAAACAATCATGGTAACTTATTATGGAAATGTTTTAAGAAAATTTAAAACTACATTGGTGAAAAAAAAGCAAGGAAAGTTGCAATGAGAAATTTTTTTCCATCACGACTATTCATCAGCCCATTTTTTGAGGGTAGCAGAACAACGTTACTCCATCTAACCTATAACCCTGATTTTGGCTCTTCAGAGATCTTTGTGTTCTCAAAACTCAAAGAACAGAGTTTTCTTTACAGAAGGAACATGATTTGAGTCCCTCAAGGATATCACATCTGCCTTTTCTTGAGATGTAAATTGAATGATGAAAATTCTTTAAAGAGTTGGTTGTTAAGTGCCAAGTCATAGGGTTTCTGAGGAGAAGCTGGATGGTTTGAACCACTAACCTTACAGTTCAAACCGACCTGGTGGTCCATTGCAGAGTAAGATGGAAACGCTATGGTCAGAAATGCATGGAACCAGATGGAGGATACATCAAGAAACAACAGCTTCCCATTTTGATAAATGTGTTTAATAAAAGTGTTCATTATTTTACAGTAATACTTTTTGACTTACCCTTGTATGTATGTTGTTGTGTACCATGAAGGTAATTCTGACTCATAACCAGTAAAACTGCCCTCCTAAGATGCCCCAGGATGTAATTTTTATGGTAGCGCATTGCCAGGTCATTTTCCTGCAGAGCCATCCATGGCAGGTTTGAACCACAGATACAGTGGTTCAAACTCATCAGCCACTCCTTGGAAACGCTATACAATTAGAACCCAGTGCTTTAGCAATGCGTGACCAGGGACATATATGTATATATACTGACACAGTGACTGCAACAGTAGGTTTAAAGGTAACAATTGTGAAGATGTGCAGGACCCAGCAGTGTTTCAGACACACACACACATACACACACACAAACATATCTTTAATGCACGTACACACACGCACACACACACAAATGGTTTTTTACAAAAGCAAAAATACAACATAACAATGAAACATCAAGAAAAACATCCACCTCTTACATTTGTTTAAAGTGAAATGAACCTCATATATTAATAAGCAAGAATTAAGAAAACAGTGAATTATAACAAAATGGTCAACTAACAAATTAAAATATCAAGAAGGTAGGTAATTCGCACATATAGACTTTAATACCAGTACAACCACCTACAATAGAAAACTATTATGTAAAAATTCAACAATTAAAAAAAAATTATTCTACTCAATATATATTTAAAAATAGAGACGTATATTGTTGTTGTTAAGTACCAAAGAGTCAGTTCTGACTCTTAGCGTCCCTGTGTAGGATTTCCAAGGAGTGGCTGGTGAGCCTGAACTGCCAACTTTGCAGTTCAAACTGTCTTTGAAGTCCAGTGTATTAACACACAGTACCACATCAGGACTCTACAAAAGTATATCCAGATTTAATTTAGCTCTTTCCAATTTTGCAAATGATTGCTTTTGTATAACCATTAGAGATTTCTAATGACTTAGTTGACATGAAATTAATCATTCAAAATTTAGTGATTTTCAATTACAGTTTATATTTTTCCCCTTTTTAATGAAAGCTACATCTTCAGAAGGGATTTAACATTATTTTTATTTTGTGATGACTAATGGTATAAGAAAACCCATTTTTTCTGAACTAACCCAAATGAGTGATCACTAATAATCCCTAAGTCAAAAGTAAAATCATATATAGCAATGACAGAAACAATTTTACATAGACACTTAGCATAATACAATATATTATTTTCTATCATTTGAATTTATTGCCATGATCATGAACAAATGTATAAAGTTTACAACTTCAGACATTCTCACATTCAGACTATGATTTTGGTTTAAACATATATAGTAATATAATCTATCAATTGTTGCCAAGAATGAAGTAGATAGATATGACATGAGTTTCTCAGTCATCATAAATAATTCTGAAATTAGATTGAGACAGATAAGGAGATGGTTGTTGCCAAGTGTCGTCGAGCTGTTTCCCATTCATGGTAACCCTGTATAGCATTTCCAAGGAGTGGCTGATGAGTTTGAACCACTGACTTTGTGGTTAAAACCAACCTTGAGGTCTCGTGCTTTAGCCCATAGTGCCACACTAGGCTGTAAGTACATTTTTTTGTTGATTTTAGTGCCTTGAGTCAGTTCCGACTCATAGAGACCCTGTATAGGGTTTCTGAGGAGCAACTTTGAGTTTGAAATGCCAACCTGGCAGTTCAAAGTGACTTTGCAGTCCAGTGCATTAACCCACAGCACCACACAAGGACTCCATATAAATCATATAAATACATTGCTGTTGTTGTTTTTGTTTTTAAGTGCTGTCGAGTCGGTTCCAACTCATAGCAACCCTGTATAAGGTTTTCAAGGAGCGTCTGGTGAACTTGAACTGCCAACTCTGTGGTTCAAACAACTTTGCAATCCAGCCCATTAATCCACAATGTCACACCAGGACATCATATAAGTACATACATATGTTAAAAAATGTTTTGAAGTGCAAATAATTTCTCAAAGAAATTTTGCTAACATACCATCCTTAAGAGCATATCAATGATAAAAATGCTTACCTCTTTAATTTTCTACATGGATAAGAATTAACACTGACAAGGAACATGCTTTTTCCATGGTGCTGTAGGATCAACACTGGACAGCAAATCACAAGGTAAGCAGTTTAAATCCACCATCTGTTCCTTGAAAACCCTATACAAGGTCACTATGTGTCGAAACTGACTTGACAACACTTAACAACAAACTTGTTAAATAATCGAGAAAATTGTGCATTTCTCCCCATCACCATTCATTAGCACCTTTCCCCAAGTGTTGTTGGTAGTTGCCATCAGTCAGCTGTTTACCCCATATACAACTAAACAAATCATTGTCCCACCCTGTGTCATCTTCGCGATCACCTGCAGAGGGGGCGACTGTGTTCCTCAGCATTTTCACTGACTGCTTTTCTAAAGCAGAACATCGGGCCTTTCTTACTTACTAGTTCTTCATAGTACAGAAGCTCTCTGAAACTTGTCCAATATTAAAGAACAATGCAACCTCTAAG